CACCACAACCTTAAATTCAAGACACGGACATTGTAAACTAAAGTGAATTAACAGATAAATATGAGCGAGCATGTATTGTATCATTATCTATATTTCATGGTTAAACTCAAAGGCCTAACATCAATCAAGATTTCTCACCCCGATGCTTTAAATTTCCACCAGACCACGAAATGCACAACAGGTTTGATATAGGAAAGAATTACACATAATTACCTGGCTTAGAGAGGTCGAAAAAATAACATAAATTTCTTTTTAACTTATATTCAATTCTTCAACCTGTTAAATCCCGTCATAAATGTCGTCGCATCATGTTTCGCACTCGCTGACTTACACATCACACCGCAAGCACAAATTCATAATTGCGAAACAAACTTATTAGAAAACTTCAACAGGTAATTGATACGAATTTCGTAACGAGTAAATTCAATACTATCTCTTCTCTATGCTTCAATTTTCGTGTTAACGGGAAGTTACTCGTTACTCTCTGTCCGGCCAAGCGCCCAACTCCCCCAACCCCCCACGATCTACAACCCCTCAGTCCACCAGTACCCCTCCATGTCCGTGCATGATCTGAGCGCAAAGCCTCGATACTCGGTATGTGTTCTTCCGCGTCACTCATAGTCCTAACGTCTTAGCTATGCGCCCGAGAATAGAGGCAGCGGAAATGAACTGGACCTTTCCCTACAACCATGGCGCATTGCCTTCGCGGCTGTTCCTCACATCTCACTTGATTAAGGCAACATGCCATCCACGCTGCCTGCAAATCCTCCTTAAAATAGCTATATCGAGCGAGCGTTTCACTGCTGTACCAGTACTCCGTTTAACAGAGGTAGGTCCTGAGACAATTCCCCCCCCCCTATCAGAACGTTGGGCTCATACAGCTGTGTAACTCGGTAATTATCCTGACAAGTACCATAGCGGGGTAGGGTGGGTACGAAGAACTGTTCCATAATTGAAAAGCGTTCCCTATAATCCATGCACACCCTAACAGCTACCCCGTTCCCTATATGAGAATAATTCTCAAAAGGAGAACGTTCTCAAAATTGAGGGCATTCCCTGAAAAGTGGGTCCAAAAGGCGCTAAAAAGGCTAAAAAAGTCAAAAAAGTCAAAAAAGTTAAAAAGCGTGGTCCTCGAACCCATAGCTTTTACATTTGTGTAACGTTCAATCCTTTAGTAGGGGTTTAAAGTTTTAACAATTGAGCTAATGGGACGAAGTGACCAATCTTATCGAATTAAAATTATTTTTAAAAATTCAATTATTTTTAGGCTTTATAACCTTTACTTTAATAATAATATTTTATTATAAAAATTTTACTTAGAAAAAAATTTTTTTTTTCTAAGTAAAATCTAACCAAAATTGACAAAAATGATTCCCAAAAAGGGAACGGTTTTTTTAGGGGGAACGATTTTATACGTATCGAACGGTAGTAGTAAAATTTTAAAAACCGGGACCTACTATTCCTGGATTTCAGCCAATAAAATGCCGGGAATCAAGGGAACGTTCCTTAATAGGGAACCGTTCCCCATAAAGAACAGTTCTCTGAAACCCCCCATTTCCGCTAGGTAGACATCATAAACTTTTCTCATGTATCCAAGTCGAAGAAAAAAAATCCTATCAGCCAATCTCGCGTAATCTCGACCGCTTTGGCTGGTTAGGGATTTGAACCCCTCTGCCCCTTTCGTAGTAAGGTAAGCAGCGTGTAGTCACGCCGCAATCCTTCGTTAGTTGCCTTCTCGTCTTGCACATCGACAAGGTTAAGTACGCACGCTACGCTACAGTGTCTTGGACTAGGTAGGCTGTTGTGAATCCTGGCTTCTTCACCATGCTGCTGACCTGAAGCCTCACCATCGAAGGTTGAGTTGTTCTTTGACCATAGCACTGGAAAACGCATGGGGGGAGTCCATCGGAAGAGGTGATAAGATTAAGATTAACATCCAACAATTCAATTAGGGGTTCCGGATCCTTATGCCTCAATGGATGTTTAACCAAACAGGCGTCTAGTTTGCCTAACTATATCCCACTGTCTTGGACTTGGGATGGCGTATGCATCAATTTCGGACCCCGACTTAAGTTTCGGTCATGATTACATAGGTAGATTACATAGGTAAGTACCTACCAATTACATTGAGGTATTATTTGTTTTCACCGAAATATTTCTCACCTGCATGCAAAAATCCCTTTTCGTTTTTTCTTTTTGATGCCTGCGCATCTAACGTCACGTAGTGCAATGTCATTATCTTGCGTTCTCGTTCAGCTGCTCTTCTACACCCTCAACTAATTTCCATAGTGCAAATATATAGACACTTACAGTGTGTAAGTGAAGTCACCATGCCTACTAATGTACACCATAGCATCAATTGAAGTTTTGGCGCAAGCCTCTATATCATTCTCGTCCGCACATGTGCCGCTCTTCTCCATCTCGATGTCCTACCCCTCCAAACTAATGGTGTAGGCTGTCAGCGCTTAAGCATGTAATTGCTCGCGTTGTTGTGCTCGTGGTATCCTCATGGTAACCACACGATGGACTTATGTTCGACATAAGATCTCGGTATTTGCCGTTTCTACCCTTCAAGCTGCAAAACTGCTGCATCGCTATTTGTTGATATCCTCTATATGGGTGTATAGGTCTGAGATGCCTAATATAATTGATTTGCACATGGCTATGTCACGATTTATCAGAATATCATGTTCGGTTGGAACTGTCTCAAAGGATAGTTAATTGCCTTCTCAAACGAGGCAACAAGGCATAAAAAGGCAACCTACTCCATACCAAGATATGCTACATATGATGATGTATAGGTACTCAATCCCATGGATGGTACTACTGCGGCTCTTAAAAGGAATGGTTCATCGGCTGCTAATTCCCACTTCCGATTACTTCCTTTGTTTAACGTGGGGTAAATATTACCATGTCCCTGATCGAAATAGGATGTGTTAAGAGACGGTTACCGACTGCCTAATGTATCTCTTACATATGGGATTTCTTAGTGTACATAAACGTTTCATTTCTGGCCTATACAACCTAGGTATATAATAGGCTCTTACCGGTTTACTGATGGGGTCGTATGTAGTCGTCCGAATATCGAATCAGGTTTAAGTATTGAGATAGGATCCATCGCCTTTCTTACAACTTGCGCCGCTGTAGAGCGTAGCCGAAAAGAAACCCAGGATCGGACACAAGGTCTACTCCTAACCAGGCGCTTATCTTTTCTCGGTGAGCAGTATTCCGTATTAAATCAGAGAAGGTTAATGGAAGGTCTTGAGATGTTGGAGCGTGTTACCATACCCATGGGTTCCGATGAGCGTTGGTAGTTTATAAGTCTGGGAGGTCACGTTTTCTGGTCTTCAAGGTGTACCTATTCGCAAATTGTTCCCCCAATTAACAAGTTATTGGTTATCACAAGGTGTGTAATTCATCATACTTGTATGGAAATCAGTAATTAGTGTAAAAGGCGTAATTTATAAGAACAAGTAGACTTATCATTGTTATCTGGTGAGGGCTCTGTATGATGACGGGTATAGTTTGTTCCTAAGAGTAGGTAACATTTATTCAGACTTAGGATAACACTTCGTAATACGCCCCTAGATGCTGGCCTATGCAGGCTGTACTGTAGCTTACTAGTTGGAGGAATTGCATAGTGGATGCCAGCAGGTCTTGACGCATGTCAGGTCTCCTATGCAGGTCTTAAATTACAGGTCTATGGCGATTGCATGCAGTCCGGGAATATACAGATACGCATGCCTCATATATAACTCACCCGAGTCCTTTATCCATTTTGATTCTTGTGGCCGACTCTATTCTAGGACAACTTCCCGAGGTAGATACAAACCCATAAGCTAGGACATAAGGCTACACATATGTTCCTCGAGTTACATGTTAGTATGTGTTTCGAGAAGAATTAGAAGACTTGGTGGGGTGATGGAATTCGTGTCGTGCAGCATGTAGTGTGCAGTGCAACATACCTACCTACATTGAATCATATGCATGCACAATACGTAATTGATCCGATAGCTTCCACGCTAAGGACATAAGCGCCGTTATGAGGTACATATGAGGTCTAGGTATATTAGCCAACAAAAAGTTGTAACCATACCAACGCATTCTACTGCCTGATATTTCCCCGAACCGCGAATATCAAGTCTAGATGGATAGGCCAGAACTAGCTACTTCGACAATGTGATGTATAAGAAAATTGATAGCTAATAGACTAACACTGACGAGGCTTCATTCTCGTTAGGAGATATGAAACCTGTACCCGCAACACCAATATAAGTTGTAATATAATCAATGACCGCGAGGCTCTCAACTGAAACCGGCAATATGGCCTTGTCTTACTTTGCCTTGATTTGTGGCCTCGCCCAGAGCGACTGTGGATGATTTATGGTGGCTGAGCTTGGTTTCTCAAGGTCCCTGCGGCCTCAGTTCTATTTTGGGGATACCGTGATTTAGAATTGAATTCGGTGGGATGCATCCCATATTCAACAATTTACAAGTTGAATCCCAAGCATGGCCTCCAAAAGGCTAATCTTGGAGACTTCCTAGCTCGTACCCAATCAAGTCGGATGGAACCTCAACACATACAAGGTACGTAACCCCTATTTGATAAGGCTCGCTTCTATTAACCTGCTTATTTAGAAGATATAGAATCTAGCTACACGCTGACAGCTGGGCCATGTAATGGGAGTCACATGGTTATGGGATGGATGCGTTGTCTGACATAGATACCACTCATGTACAAAGGCCGAGATATCCCAACGAGGAACCGAATCTCGTAGGTACAGATTGTGTAGGACATTACTATTTCATATTGGCTTAATATACACACAGTAGATTACCCAAAGATGGAAACACGACCTGAACCAAGCACCAAGGAAAGAATGTACCAACCTTCTAATTAAAAACCACGGCTGGCGGAATATTAGTGTTACAAAACCGATGTTGGTATGGGTGCCGCCAATTTTTTATTAAAAAAAACGATAGACTGATGCGTCAAAAGACATCGTGAAACGAGGCAGATAAGATCATGCATGCGAAGGGGGGCCTCAGAATATGTCTAAGTGAGACGCCATGAGCCTCTCTCGTCAACAACATTCTCGGGAACATGAATGTGACTGCCTAGGCCATTTAAGCCCCGTAATTGGAACGTGCCGTGAGTGACATAATGGAAAAGGCTGTTGAGCCCAATTTATTGTCGAATTATTGGCCTGCATTCTAGAGCTTCGTCAACGTCTATCATATCCTCATCGTCCCTTTCAGATGTTGCGTCCCCCATGGTAGTTATTGAATCAAACGTAGAACTCCGAGAGGCTGATTCGGAAATATCAGAGACGTTCAGCGCCATATCTGAATCTTTGGCAATGCTTTCTATTTCCGTATTATACTCAGGCGTGACACCAAACTGATGCAGCGTCTCGTCGTAGGTGAGCCATTTCCCAAACTTTGCAATGCGGCATCCTAGCCATAAAATTCTTTCTTTCCGATCCCCTGTCATGGAAGCGACTTCAAAGTATTTTTCATCGTCGTCTATTTTGTCGTTAGAGAACCAGTCGTTCGGGAAGTACTTATCCACCCAAACGAGGCCCTTCATCGCAAAGTCTTCCGGCAACGGGCGAGGGGCAGGTTCTTTATCCTGTCTAGGAAACTGTTCATTGTGGATTCGATGGTGTTCCCGGTATGATAAGAGTAGTGAATTTAGTTGGAGCGAAACCAACTTCCAGGGGAATGTCTTTTCAATAAAGAACAATGCACTAGGATAGTGAGTAAGGTGGAATACGAAAACCAAAACTACGTGCAAAAATGGGAGAATCTATGCAAGAGTTTGATTAGCCACATATACACGTATATCTCAGAGGATAGTCCGGATTGGTAAAAGGGAAAGGGGGAAGCTTACGTTGAAGTCACCCAGCCTTCGCAAAACGACATCACACGTAACCCCGAATAGTTTAAGAGCCCACTCTTCCGTCTTGCTAGGCTTGTACTCGCGTAGAGCATCCTCTGGTTCCGTACTAGGATCAGTTGATTCTTCTGGGTGTTGTGGACGTATCGCCTTCAAAATGACGTTTTCGTCTTGGCCATAAGATAAGAGACCATTGCAGTCTGATATGGCAATGTAGTACCTATTCTAGTCTTAGTACGATATAAGAAATAAGGAATAGTTGGGGTTAAAATATACCCAGACTCCATCCACTTTCGTGTAGTTCGACCAATGTGGTTATCTAGCATACTACTAAACTTGTCAACCGTCGAGAGAAAATCATCTGTATATTTGTTGCTAAATAGAATACCGTGCGCCTTGACGAAAGCTACGTCAACTGCACTTAATCGAGAATGCTGAGCGCTTGTTGGATCAAGAATGGGATCAAACAAGGTCATAATCGACTCCCGGGCGGAACTGAACGGAATCGGGACGCAAAGAGACTTGGTATAGTAATAAAGCTGCTGGAGGGGGTTAGGACGTGCAAGAATTGCGAGATGGTGATATAGTCTTCCGGTAGTAGGGGCTTTATCAGAAGCCTTCGAATACCAATGACGGGATACGGAAGTCCAGACCTCCCTGTCCCGAATGTCATCGTCCTCGATAGCCATTCTATATTATACAGTGTAAGTTAACCTGCCACGAACAATGCAATCTATCTCTACTAACCGGTACCTGCCAAGATCGCCCAAGCACTCTATCCATGTATCCTCGAAAGCCGGAACAGTCTCGTATAGAAGCGCCATCATGGAGTATGCGAGATAAATAAATGTGAGCATGTGCTCTAAAGAGTGTGGGAGCCGATGTCTTAACAACTCAAGAAAGGAGTGTATGCCGTGCCTCCACATACGGGCCGGCATGGCATATTTAGATGCCAAACGTCGTAATGCCTGACTCGCAGAAGGATGCTGTGAGGCTAGGAAGAAATCGTGGTGCTCGTGTAAGAGCGTCCTATGCAGTGCTATCAACGCTTGCCATTGCTCATTGTTCAGCTGGGTTTCATTTTGGGACTGTTGTGCATTGTCAACCTCAATGCACTTGGATTCAACCATTACAAGTCCTGCGTAGATCCCCTTGACTTCAGCAATTAGCTGTTCTTGACTAATTGGTCGAGTCTCCGGCTGCTTAATAAGCCTAGTCGATTCAGTTTCATCTTCAATAACATCTGCTCGACTCTTAGGTTGACTAATATTCCTTGTTTGTCGTGATGCTGGATTTGGACGTGGTGATGAAGGACCGGCAGCATCATCGGGACTCCAGAGTTTTCCAAGATTCGTGGTCCTTCTAAATTCAGGGTCATTGGCACTGGTTGATACAGCCCGAGCTCTTGATCGCCTATGCGGACTGAGGGACTGAGGCCGGCCCTTTATTGACGATACAGGGGATTTACGTCTCTTATATGGGCCAACATCATTCTCTTCGTCTTTATCCCCTGATGGGTCTGCATGGCCTCCTCCTGGATCTTGGGAACTAATCAGTTTTTGCTGTCTATCAGCTGTTGTTCTTTACTGACTGTTAGTTGGCTGATATATCCAGGTAACTAGGGGCTTACCTCTTAACTGCTTCAGCGCTCCCCTTTCTGATATCTTGAACAAGCTGGGAGATATTATCATTCCCTAACAGTTCTGGATGACGTGATTGCAGGTGCGTTCGTATGCGATCATCGATATCAGGGAACTCATCACCACAGCCATGGATCGGACAGCGGAGTTTCGAGGCGTTCCGGAGATAATTTATAAATGATGCCGCAACGTCCTTTTGAGGCATCTTGTGAAGATAGAAATTTCTTACTTTCTAAATGTAGTGTACGTAAGTCCTGATCTCGTCCCTGGTTGGTCTGGGGAGGGAAGCCTCTTCTTGGACGTTGGATTTAGTTGAGGTGTCAGTCAGAATGAATTGACCGTCTTTTATCTCTGAGAAGTATAATCAAAGATGCGCTCATCGAACGTGTAGTTTAGGCGTGGGGGCAATTTTTTCTAGATATAAGGGGGCTGCAGCACATGAGAGAAGTTTGCAAGGTCACAGCAATTTTTCAAATAGCCGAAGAGATGATTCATTGAATAAAGCTGATTATTGTGCTGGAGCCTGATTTAGAGACCTTTAATGACAGAGATTAGCACATGAACCCTAGCATACGTGTAAGATGAAGCAGAGATTTCTTCGTTTGCACTGCTCAAAACTAGCCCCGAATGAAATGTCATATGTGGAAGTTGAAGAGGGAATAAAACGAGTGAGGGCAGCAATTAATTGCACTGACGATGGGCGCGTGGGGGAACATATCGGAAGAGTAACTTACGCAAGTCTCATTGTTGTAAGTGACCTTGGATATGCTCTGATTATAAGATGTAGAAATCATCGAAGACCTCAATTGAAGTGAAGAGAATAATTCAGGAGCCACCATATGCATCTTGTATGAGATCTCAGAGGCTTATATTATATCGAAAACTTACTTCTCAGGTATGTACCCAGGTAGGTGTACCTTACCAGACTAGTTCGCGCACCGTCATGTACCTGATGTTACCTTGTAGAAGTGACTAAGAAACTCGCACTGTGCGTAATTAGGTTATCGTTTTAGTTTACCGAAGAAACTGTTGCCTGATGCCTACTTTTCTGGTTCGCCAAAGTTCGCCTGCGGCTCAAAATTTAAGTGGGGTTCGCTATTTCCCCTCTCAATCTACCCTCAGAATTCTTGTGTCCTATTTTCCTTCTATTTACTCATTTACTCATTTACTCATCTCCACCACTTGTCCACTTATCAAACACCTCACCAAACTTGTCCTTGTGCCAGAATCACCAGCTGTTATTGAGATCCTATTTCCTTTGTTAGTGCAAGCATCTAGCAATCGATCCTCGACAAACACATCCAGAAGTACCCGAGAGAAGCAACGAAGACAATAGCTAAGGACAGGATATCAAACAAACAAATCAATCGAGCCGGTCCAAGATTCAATGTAGAACTTGGAATAGTCGATAGCGAAGCAGCCAAATCAGGCTCTTGCGACCGAGCGAACCTGGCTATCGTTGAGTTTCCCGAATCTACTCGGTAAGGCGAGACTCGGCTCAAATGTGTAAATTAGGCAGGCTAAGTGTTATAATGTAGCCTTGATAGCCTCAATAGCCCAGAACTAACACTTGAGAATGACTGCAAATAACTGATCAGTTCTCACTAGAAAATTTTGCTCAGCCTTGGTTATCTAGATCAGTAGGCTGGAGTGATGAATACAGAGTAATGGATACAATCGTATTAAGCCTTGTAAGCGGGCGTCTTAAGTGATCCCAAATAATGTCGCGGCCGTGTTCACCGAATAACAAGCACATGATGTTAGCGAACGAAAATAAAAGGTGATTTCAGAATAGAGTATCAAGCTCCCGGGCGAACTTCGTACATCTCTTAGTTCTTATGTTAGTATAAGTGTCAGGGTAGCTTAATAGAAGGGCGGGGAATAGAGATAAATATAATTCCCTAGCACGCGCTTATCGAGATCCTAACGTCTTACGTACCTTAGGTAGATACCTAGCATACCTAGCATACCTAGCATAGGTAGGTACCTAATGGAAAACATGATATGTAGGACTTAGTGGAGCCGCCTTAAATTGAGCCCCCAACTTTTAAAACTTAACAATATTTACATTTACAACACAGGACTAGCCGCAGAGCCTCATCTATAACAACAACGTCTTCGGTCAATATGCAAACTGTTCAAACATATTATGCCTTGGAGCATGGAGATATTCAGATGGCAATAGTACTACATTAACATTTGGGCTTGAGTCACATCAAGTTCACCTAACATATCTCTCAAATCCTCTCGGGGGACGATAATCTTGTGGAAGCAAGCAGCGTGACGAAGGAGCTGGGGATGGGGACTTTATGGAAAGAAGAAATTTGGAAAAGAAATCCAGTCATCAGATGGAAATAATGCTTCTGCCTCTTTAGGCATCGAAGATGCCCTAGGTTAGATGAAACTTAGATGACACCTTTCGATCGAATAAGGCAAGTTTCTTTTCAAGTCGCCGAATCTGAACCCCGCCCGAGGTTCCTTACTCAAGCAAAAGTATTGTGCATGCTATAACATATTACGTATTTCCATCGCCGCCCCCTATTTTTCCCCTGGGCTACCGTGGTCTAGGGAACTGCCGATGTTACCCGAATGATATATTCTTGGTACAGCCAAACATTTTCACTCGGAGGAATCCCGGCAATGCGGGAGCGGACAAGCCGAATTATGTATTCAGATAGCCCCCGAATCGGCTATCCCCGATAGTCACGAACGTCGGTCCGTCCGAACCTAACTACACCTATGACCGCTCTCTGAGACATGCATATATAATATGCCAACCCTTACGATATATTGTATTTGGGGGATGGCAAACTTCTCCTTTCAATATTAACCCTAACTAGTGTCTCGTTAGCAAGTTCACCAAGGACCTATGTCATATTGGATTCTTTAGAAAGTGGTGGAAGACAGTTTCAGCTGAGGTGAGCCACATCCGATATATTATGAACTCTATACCGAATAACCGACTCGGGGTTTGATCATGCTGTCTTACAAATTAGCTCTTCGATGTGGCAAAGGGGCGCGCGTGTACAGAAAATTTTAACATATTCGCCTTCCTATCCCTTATGCCTAAAGATCAAGAAGAAAAATATTCTCCTCGGATTTAACCAAAGATACTATTATTAAGTTTTCTGCCTAAGCTTTAAATATAACTGTATCTAACCACTATTCTTTGAGAACAGTATAATGCCAGTTACTACTACTTATAAGAGGCAACTCTTATAAGTTACCAACGATTATGGTCTTGTGCCCCGAACAGGGAATTGTTATTGGAACTACGGCATACTTCTAAATTAATATCGACGCCTATAAGAAAATAGCTTCATCTCGGTGACTAACTTGGGCATACCTCTGAAGTGATAGTTGTGACAGGGATAAGAAGTTTGTGGTGCTGAACACTTCATAGGATGCCTAGTAAGTATCTACTTCAATGAGTCATGGGGCGATACCCACCAATCCATACATTAGTCTTCTATGACCCTAAGGATACATGCTTCCTAGGTTCATCAACGTTGCTGCCTATATACTTGTGTGCAACCAAGATCTCTTCTCCGTTGATTATATCGGCAGAAGGTTGTCGAAAAAGGCGGCTGGCTCACTTACTAGGATTCGTGCGAGTAAAGGCGCGCCAGTTATTCAAACGAATTTCTACCTGAGAACCAGCGTAGGGCTATGGCCTATGGAACGCTGCCTTCTATTACACGGGAAAATTATAGCATCAGCCTTCACCGACATCAGCTCACGAATCACCATGCCGAAGAAGTGCCTACCTATTACGTTTAGAACAACGGTATTCAGCTAGATGAGACCCACTACGCGCCCTGATTTACGGCTCTATTCATGTAGCCGTGTTGATGAAATGAGGTAATGGGTAGCCACAGCAAAGTATTATCCCAATGCAGCTTGATCGATGCCTGGCAGGAATCTACGAAAGAGTCACCGGTCCAGGATACCATCCAGGGAGGCCAACAGCAGATATCTCTAACCTAGAAGATAGCCTAACGGTGTATCGGGGAGTTTACGTGCAAGTGCTTAGCTTGTACGAGATGCACAATATGAGTCGATGGTAGGCGGTAACTCAATGTCAGCAAGGCAGTATGATTTACTGGTATTGGACGTCGTGCTACTTAAATTTATTAGATACCATACCTAAACAACTCGTATTGCAGAAGACGTGTTGCTAAGACCGCCAGAGGGATTGTTGAGGATATCTCGTAATAGTCATTTGACCCAGATTTCCAAGAAGCTCAATATCCAGTACGTCCCTATGTTAAGTAATACTTCTTAACAATGCCATGTGGCCATGATATCTTGTCTCCATAACCGGCTCCGTAATCCGCTGGGGAATCGAGATATACAACACACATAGAGGTCATGATTAGGCATCATGCCACTATCACGCATCTTATTATCATCCGAAGTCACGCGTTTACTTAGTTGCCTATCTAATTATTAGAAGCCCTTGCTAGATGGGGGTAGATAAGGAAGTCCAAAGATAGATAATCACGCTGCGCTAATGACGCGAGACGCAAATAATACAGGTGAGCTGAAATCTACCAATGTAGACAGTATTATTGATTACTTTAGGTACGCATTAAGATAATCAGCATTCTATAAAGGAGGGTATTGGAGCATGGTGTTAACAAGGGAGTATGATAGGTCGTTTGATGTTTGACATTTGACGTTTGATCAATTGTCAATCACTGTACAACGCAATTGTGCATTAGCCATCTATCGACTATAAATTAGGTATCATTATTTAAACAGGGCCGTAGCGTGGCTTTTGAGGAGGTGGCTTTGTTTCCCTATATCACAGCAAGTTTGCTTAGTGTCCAGACTGTTTGCGTCAAACCGTGTGAATACAACCTACCGCCTAGGAAGAGTTCTTGAGCAATCACCTTCGACTACGCCTGCGCCCATTGGTACCTACATATTTGACACGGCTTGCCCCTTGACCCAAACCTGTCGCCCCGATCCTAACGCCAATGCGATCCCAAAGCCAAGGGACGGGAACAAAGCGATCGAATGGAGGCATCATTTGAACAGTTCAATCG